CAACAACGAGCAATATCTGATCGGGTGCAAATCATAACATACATCAAACTCTAAACTGCTAAGGAGCAAGGAACGGTTACCATTTCTTCTATTTCCTTTTGGGTAAAACAATAAGATTTCTTACTTAGTGTAAAGTAATTAGCAAGAGGTGTGCTAATTGAATTAGCATGCTTCATATTGAATCTATTTAGAACATGCTCAACGTATATCTCTTGTGACAACCAAAACTTCTTAACTTTCTAGTCACAAGTTATCTGCATACTCAGAATTTGTTGTGTTGATCTCAGATTTTTCTTGTTAAATGAGCCAAATAACTCCTTTTTCCAAACTGCTAATTAATGTAGCATCCTGCCCAACTATCAATATATTAACCACTTAGAACATAAGAATGTTAAACCTACTATATAGGAATGTCCTGAATTACACTCAATAATATGCATTTATTTTATAGTAGCTACGACTCATAACGAAAGAGTCAAATTTCTTTACAGCTATCTTGGAGCCTGTTTTTCTTGAAAGTTATTTCTCAAATGCCTTTTTCTGTAATGGTTCATGCAATCGATATTTGCTCCACAGGTTTCGAAATCACCAATGCCCCAATATTATTTTGAGTCATCTACCAAAAAAATAAAAAAATTTGATTTTACAATTTTTACAAGCTCATCTATCCAAAGTTTCTCTATCATTGAAACAACTAACATTTACTTCAAATCAAAGATACATACCGACTTCATAACACCATAAACACTATCATCTTTGGTGCCGAAAGAAGAAACCATAAGCATTTTTATCTTTTCCTTTCAAGATATCAACAATTGTGGTGCTCTCAAAAGCATGTTCTTACCATATGGGTAGATGAACCTGACCCAATGTGAGAAAATATAAAAGATCGAATCAATGGATTTGCAATTCTAACATGTTGGAGAATTACATTTTTTATAGTGTTACCACACAAAAACTACTTGAATCACACTTTGCATTTTTAGCTGTTAAGAGTATAAATTTATATATTATTAGAAAAATAGTTATAAATAAAAAAATTGGTATTATTATTATTCCAAATAAAATTTACATGTCACATAATTTACTCTTTCGAATACACAATGGACGAAGCTACTTTGCACTATTTAAGATATTTAAGATCCAAAAAATTAAAAAACGAAGTGTTTGAGTGAAAATGTTAATAAAATGACACCAAAGCAAAAGATTTAGTACGTTTTCTTTAGAACTAATTAAGTACCAAATTTTTTGAACTAATAATTGAGTATCAGATCAGGTGTCAAGAACTAAATTATTTTTTTTGAAATATCAAGAACCAAAAATTAGGAAATAATCAATTAGTTATAATTTGTTAGTTTTTTTAGCTAAATTAATAAGATGCAAAGAGTGGTCGAATTACTGGATTTGCAATTCGAACATGTTGTAAAATTGTATTTTTTATAGTGTTACCACGACAAAAACTACTTGAATAACACTTTATGTTTTTAGTTGTTAAGAGTATAAATTTGTAGATTATTAGGAAAAACAGTTATAAATAAGCAAATTGGTATTATCATTATTCCAAACAATATTTACATGCTACAAAATTTGCTCTTTCAGATACATAGTTGACGAAACTACTTTGCACCACTTAATGTATTTAAGATCCAAAAAATTAGAAAACGAAGTGCCTGAGTGAAAATGTTAATAAATAGCAGTAAAGTAAAAGATTTCATAGGTTTTCTTTAGTACCAAACGAGTACCAACTCTTTTTTTAAAATAATAATTGAGTATAAAATTTAGTGTAAACAATTAATTTTTTTTTTGTGAAATATCAAGAATAAAAAATTACGAAATAATTACTTAGTTAACTAGTTACTGTAATCAATTAATTACAATTTGTTAGCTTTTTAGCTAAACTAGTGAAATGCACAATTCAAAAAGTGGTCGAATAACTGGATTTGCAATTCGAACATGTTGTAGAATTGTATTTTTTATAGTGTTACCATGCACAAAAACTGCTTGAATCACACTGGATTTGCAATTCGAACATGTTGTAGAATTGTATTTTTTATAGTGTTACCATGCACAAAAACTGCTTGAATCACACTTTACATTTTTAGCTGGTAAGAGTATAAATCTATAAATTATTAAAAAAAAAAACAGTTATAAATAAACAAATTGGTATTATTATTGTTCCAAATATCATTTACATGCCACATAAATTTGCTCTTCTGAATACACAGTTTGACGAAATTACTTTTCATCATTTAAGGTACTTATGATCCAAAAAATTAAAAAACAAAGTGCCTTAGTGAAAATTTTAATAAATGGCAGCAAAGTAAAGATTTGGTAGGTTTTTTTTTTTTTTTTGGGTACTAACTGAGTACCAAATCTCTTTTTAAATAATAATGTAGTATCAAATTTCACGTCAAGAATCAAATTTTTTTTTTTTTTGAAATATCAAGAACTAAGAATTAGAAAATAATCAATTGGTTATCTAGCTACTATAGTCATTTAGTTACAATTTGTTAGTTTTTCAGCTAAACTGGAGGGATGCAGGTTACAAAAATGCAGTATGTTGTTAATTTCATCCATGTTTATTTCGAGTTCATCCTTGTTGTTTGGATGGTTCCAGTTCGAAATTGGAGGCGAGAAGCTGATGATTGAGAAAGTGAGTATAGAAGTAACCTTATCCCGAGTAACATCTGTTTGCCGAAACCGAACCGACCATTGATATGCAGCCATACGGTTGCAAGATTCCTTGTCGTGATTGAGCACATAGACAGCCTGCTTGCAAGTCCATTCCTCTCTTTCTTCTACAAATATCAACACAAATAATTGAAAACGAATCACCACAAAAATGACGCATGTACTTCCTCTGATCCATTTCTTTGTTCTCCCTATTTTCGACGCATTCCAACAAGTAGGGGATCTCCTATCTATAAATTTATTTCAACTTTTCTTGGATTTAATTTTAATTAAAATAATTAAATTCTTATTACTACCCACAGATTATAATTTTATTAAAATTTTAATAAATCACATAGTTTAATTATATATGTTTAATTTGACATAATTTTTATTTAATTTTAGTTGGTCTAATTTTTAATTATGATGAGAACTTTGACTAAATTTATCTTGATAAAATTTTAAAATTAAACAAATAATACCATTTATGATCTGAATAAATCTTTTTAAATATCAAAAACAGTAAACGTAAGAGAACTAAACTATTATTATGTTTCAGAGCTTATTGAGTGTCTGTCGTCCGAGAATCCACTCAATCAAACTTTATAATAGCATCATATTAAATTTTATCGAAACAAATTTTTTTTTTAGAAAGGTCAAAAATAAAAGTAATTATAACTTTTAAAAAATTGATTCAGTGCCTACTGTTTAAGGGTCCACTTAATCAAAGTATCAAATTTTATCAAATGAAAATTTCGAAAACCGAAAATAAACTGCGTGAGACCGTGGAAAAATTAACAAATAGAATGAATGACAATATTACCTGCAATATCAATTAAAAGACAATTCTTTTAGCCAAAAAAGAAGTTCGGAGACTGCTTATCATTAAGCTGATTGTCTGATTGACACATAGTACTCGACCTTATTTCATACAAAACGCAGGAAAACACAACACAAAAAGACAGACACAACAGAGCATATTTACAAGTTTATTCGAAGAGCATGAGACATAACCAGAGAAGGAAACAGCCATTTTCATCATCATCTAGTATCCTCCCTGTATATAAGCATTCAAGCGGTCCAACTCCTCCCTGTGCTCACTCACCACTGCTCGGACAACATCTCCTATGGAAACCATGCCAATCATTCCCTTGTCATCAATTACTGGAATGTGCCTGATGCGGTTATCTGCAGAGCAACCATAGGTTTGAAGATTAGAAAATACTCATATACCATTAGAATACAACTAAGCAAGTGCATTGCCACATCGTACCAGTCATCAATTGCATGGCCCGTAAAACTTTAGTGTCAGGCTTGACTGTGATAAGCTTGTTCTACATAAATACACCATTTATCATCATTAATAATATAGCTATAAACACATTGTCACTACATGTAGCAGGACATGGATTTGGATGAACATTAATAATACGAAAAGTTGTAAAATATGCAGCCACCTAAATAGATACCTCCTCAGTCATAATGTCCCCAACTTTGGTGGACTTGGATGATCTTCCCTGCACTATGATCTTCCTGAGATAATCTGATTTTTTTTTAATAGAAGAAGAAACATTTATAAGACGGAGAAAAAGAATTACAGCAAAAGGAGAATAAGATAACCTACAAAAATAAACATACAAAGAAAAGAACTGTAAGCCCAACATACTCCCCATGAAAAGCTAATCTAATAATATATCATCAAAAAAAAAAGTTGCCAGAAAAGTACACCCATGCTGCTCAAAACATATTTCCCTAATCTTTCCCTTTGCAGTTGCAATATGTGACAATAAACTGACAAGCAAATCTACTGGTGGATTGCAAATTCTGGACAAGATCTGGTAAGTACAGCATGGTTCAGGCTGAGATCAGTTAGGAAAGTTAGATATAGTATGCATTTCCTACATAGACATTTCCTTTTTTTTTTTTTTGGCAATAGAAAAAAAAAATACTATCAAGACTAAGCTGGAGAAATTAAAACAGCACAGAATAGGGTATCCTCCTGGAGTCTTTTCATAAAGAAGCTCCAAAGTGAGAAGTAATTACAAAAAAGAAAACATTGAGAAACCCGAGCTGCCTATATACGTATTTCTGGTGTACCTCCAAACTGGAGTGAATATCATGCACCCCTTGATCTCTTCTCGAAATAAGTTGTTTTGTTAGCTTCTGCGGAATGTGTCTTCACTTGGTACAGGTTCTGATTGCTATATGGTGATTATTGATACCTGAATACACTATGTTCATATTTTGATTTTGAAATTTTGTTTGTTACAGTAGAATCTGAGTAGAATTCTGTGTTGAAGTTTTTTATTCTTTGGATATTAATGAATATGGCCTGAACTAGCAATATGGAGACTAAGTTGTTTTTTTTTTAGGTTTTGAGAAAAACTGTATGGACATAGGTGAGAATTCTAGTATGGCCAACATCTTCCTTCCTCCTCCTCACACCTGACAGTAAGCAGTGCGGTGGCCATGTGATGTTTCATATCAGAAAATTTCTGTTCAGGAAAAGCAAATCTTTTGACGTCATTTTTGCAGGGAATAAAGCTGATTGCATTCGAGTTAGTGAAAATGGGAGGGGGTTTAGGTCGTCTATCAGATTTTGGGAGAATGAAATCACATGGTTGTTAGGTGCCATATAGGAATTTTACTGGATGAAAGGAGGGGAATTCTAGGGTAGAGAGGCATCCAACCAGAAAATGTGAAAGGATTCTCTAAATTAGTTGGATTCTTAAAATTAATACAGGAGGTCTTGAGATACCTAATGTAACTAAAACATATTTACAACTATTTTCTACAGAAGAGAAGATAAGTTCACAATTGGTTGGCAATTTTTATGTCAGTTGAACACTCACTGGAGAGTGAAAGACTACACATTTTAAAAAATGTTACCCCACATTACACAAGATTTGTATGGCCTTATTAATCTGAAATCTGCATATATTTATACAGCCTTATCCTCCTTCCAACTTATTGAATACAACTGAAAAGGTGATCACATGAAAGTTATTTCCCAAATACCTCTTTCCGTAATGATTCCTGCAATCGATTTTTGCTCCCCAGGCTTCAAAACCACCAATGCTCCAACATTATTTTGAGTCATCTGCCGAAAGAGTGAAAAAAATGGTTTAACAATTTTTACAAGCTCATCCATCCAAACTCTCCCTACCATTCAAACAACTAACATTTACTTCAAAACAAAGATACATACCGACTTCACAGCATCATAAACACTATCATCTGTGGTGCACCAAAGCCAGGAACCATCAGCATTTTTACCTTTTCCTTTCAGGATATCAGCAATTGTGGTGCTCTCAAAACCATGCTCTTCCATACGGGCAGATGAAACTGACTCAAGGCGTGAAAATATAAGTGGCCGAATTACTGGATTCGCAATTCGAACATGTTGTAGAATTGCATTTTTTACAGTGCTACCACGTACAAAAATTGCTTGCATCACCCCTTGCATTTTTAGCTGCTAAGAGCATAAAATTTGTAGATTATTATAAGAACACTTACAAATAAACAAATTAGTATTATTATTGTTTCAAACATCAGTTACATGTCACATAATTTGCTCTTCCGGATACACAGTTGATGTAACTACTTTGCACCACAGACGGTATTTGAAATCCAAAAAACTTGAAAACAAAGTGCCTGAGAGAAAATGTTAATAAATGGCAGCAAAGTAAAATATTTGGTAGGTTTTTCTTGGTACTAATTGAATACCAAATCTTTTTATAAAAAAATAATTGAGTACCAAATCTGGTGTCAACCACCAAATTTTTTTTTTTTTGAAATATCAAGAACCAAAATTAGGGAATAATCAATTGGTTAACTAGTTACGGTAGTCAATTAGTTACAATTTGTTAGTTTTTCAGCCTAAGCTAGTGCGATGCACAGTAAAAAAAGACAGTAAGTTGTTATTGTGAGAATCATCAAACGTGGATGATTTTTTTTTTTTTTAAAATAAACATGGATGAAATTTAAAAATCATTTCTCTGCAAAATCTTCTGCAACTCCTCCTCCTTCAATTCCTTCTCTATTTCCTTATTTCTCATCAAATCTGGATCTAAATCATGAACGAAAAGTTGAATGATTTTCAGAAAGCTACACATGAATTTTGTAGTATGCAGCAAGAGGCTCCACTGGAAATCCAACAAAAACTGGAGCATAAATTCAAGAAAATGAGGCTTGCAGTTCATAGGCCCCGGTAATTTCTCTCCTGCTTTTCCAAACATGAGCAGGGAATGCTTTTTCAGCAATAGATTCTTTTCTTTCTCCATTTAGGACAGCTCCACTAGGCATGAGTCTCCACCCATCCACGTTGAGGAACAGTTCCTCTTCCACAGCTTTCACCAAGAGAAGTCATTCTTCATCTTCAGCTTCAGCAACGATTCTCCCTACTGTTCAAAACATCAAGGATTTTATGCTTTCTCCTAAAATTGATGCTGATGTAAGAGTTAAGGTTGCTATAAAGATCTGTAACGATTGACAAATTTTGATGGGGTTTGAGATAGACGATGGATCATTTAAGCTTGACAAGCTGGTTACAAAAGATGCTTACTTGAATGAGATATGGGGTGGTGCATGAAAGGAATTTCCTGACACTTCAGATGTTTCACACTCTAGGAGATCAGAGGCAGGTAGGATCAAGTGACATGCAAAGATGGCAGAAGGCAAGGAAAGTTGGAAAGGAATGAGTCTTCTTTTTCCTGTTTCCAGCTAAAAAGTAGAGTTCAAATAGTTGCTGACGTACTTGTTGGTGATTAAGAGAGAAGAAAGGAAGGAGGGACGATGAAGCTAAAAATGATAATGAAGCTGCTGTGATTGTAGTTAACATTACCTAGCTCAGCCGGATTTTGGACATCTTACAGAATTTTCTTCTATGCAAGCTCAGCCTATCCTAATATCCAAGGACAATGATAAACTTCATGGAAGGAGTACCCTTGGGAACCAAGGATTAGGGAATTTTGATTAGTCAATTCAAAATTTGTTAGCATAACTATATCTGGAATATGAAGCATGAAATAGCAATAGTTTAATTGTGAAATCATCTAAGCAATTTGAATGAATTTTTTTCTTTTTTGAGATAAAGAGTATAAAGTATTCATTAAATTTGAGAGGGTGCCAACTCATATACAAAAAGATTTACATATCGATCAAACAATCGATAAGGTTAATTACTTCCTCCATTAATTCAAAAAATTATCCTTACCCACCAAACCCAAAATTTGTTGTCATCCTGCTTTAACCTTATCAACGTCCCCTTCCACCCTTTAAACACCCTTCTTTTTTTTTTTTTGGGAAATAAAAGAAGATTCGAATTAAAAGGTACCAAGGAGGTACCGCCCAATATACAAAAGGATGTTACATGTCAATTAATACATCAACAACTGCTCCAATATCTTTTAAGAATAGTAACTTGTGACCTAAGAGTAAGGAGACAATTAGTGTAACCATCTATCTCTAATATTTACAAGAGTATTTTAAATATCCTCAAAAGCACGATCGTTCCTCTCCTTCCAAAAAATCTAAAAAATAGAGAAGGGGTTAAGACAAGTAGCTTTGTTGTAAGAAAGTAGACCTTCCCAAGCCAAAAGTTCTTTATGAATAGAGCCCGCCATTACCCAATTAATACCGATCAAGCTGTAGATCATATTCCATAAACCTATAGAGAATGGGCACCATAACAGAATATGGTTGCAGCTTTCAGCGTTGCATTTTTAGAGGAAATACCTGTTGACCAAAGTTCCACCTCTTTTCATCAAATTATCCAAAGTCAGAATTTTCTCCTTAGCCGCTTCCCATGAAAAGAAAGTAATCCTGGGAGCAGCCATCGTTTTCCATATAGCTTTAAATGGAAATGATAATTGTTGATCAGAGTTGTTTCGGTCCCAAAACCCAGCAATCTTATTATAAAAAAAGTTGATGGAAAACTTGTCATTTTTACTCAATTTCCAGATGAGGGTGTATGGAGTATCTCTCAAATGAATACAGACCATCATAGACAGGAAATTCTCAAATTCCTCCAACTTCCAATCATTTAAGTTCCTGCTAATCGCAACATAGCAGTGACCTAAACTGTCAAAAGCCTCATAAACCAGCAATTTTTGCCGTTGTGCTATAGCATTGATGGTGGGGAAAATAGATTTAAGGTTTCTTTCTTCACACCAAGCATCATGCCAAAAAATTAATCTAGGTGCCCCGACCCACCTACCAATGGGTGTTTGCAATCAGCTCATTATAATTGGCAAGTATGCGTTTCCATGCACTACTACCGTTAGGTCTTTTAGGATAGACAAATCTGCCATCATTGTCTTTTTTCATCCATTTAATCTCTACAACTTTCCTCCAAAGACTGTTATCTTCATTTAAATATCTCCAGATCTATTTTCTCTGGAAAGCTTTATTGATGTTAGCAATAGATCATATACTGAGACCACCTAACTTCGTCGACAATTGAACTTCTTCCCATTTAACAAGATGATACACTCTTTTGTTCTCTGTACCACCTCATAAAAAGTTGTTATGTATAGCTTCCAAACGCTTGGCAACTCTGCTAGGGATGGACAGCACCGAAAAGAAGTAGGTTGGAAAGTGTACTTTTTATAAGAGTTAACCTACCACCTTTGGACAGGAAACCCCTCTTCAAGTTTTGCCAATCTCTTATCCACAAGATCAATGACAGAATTCCTCCCTTTGTGATCTTTATACTTGAGGCCCAGGGGGAAACCTAAATATTTTATAGGGAACTTTTTCTCCTGACAGCCCAAAAAAGTGGCAAAATGGTCACCATCCACCTCAGAACCAATACACACCAGTTTAGTCTAGTTCATATTTATTTTGAGCCTGGAAACAGCTTGAAAGCAAAGAATGATGCATCTTAGACGAAGAAGATAATCGAGTTTGGGTTTGCAGAAAATCAATGAATCATCAGCAAAAAAGAGATGAGATATTTCAATTTTTCTGTCCCCACAACCCAAAGTGATGTCTTTTATCATCCTTAGTTCGGTAGCTCTCTTAAGCAGCTTACTAAAAGCTTCCATGACAATGATAAAGAGTAAAGGAGAGAATCACCTTGTCGAAGGCCTCTAGAGGAACAGAAAAAGGAGGAGGGACCACCGTTCACCATAACAACAAAGCTAGGAGTTGAGACACAAGTTCTTATCCATTTCCTCCATTTGACACCAAACCCAAATCATCACAACGGAATAAATCCTTTAAATACAAGTTCTTATTATTTAAACGCCCTTCTATTCCTTTCTCTCCACACCGTCTAAAAAATAGTCAGAGGAGTAAATCCTGATTCTTTTATCCTACCCTTCATACGCTTCCATGCTCAAATCTCTTCTCTGATAGTATTCGTCCAATTGAACCCAATAACCTAAACGTGGTGCACCAAAGATTATTCACGAAAGGACAATGTAGTATATCGGATCACAAGTTTCTTCTGTCATCTTACAAAGATAGTAACTGTTCACCAAAAGTTTTCCTCTTCTTAGCAACTTATCGATCATTAAAATCCACCTGTCCTGCCTCTTCTTAGCAACTTATTGATCATTAAAATCCACCTATGTCCTACTTCCCAAGCAAAGAAAGCATTCTTTCCGCCGGGGGGGGGGGGGGTTCTGGAAGCTTGTTCTCCATTGCTTCGTTGGAAGCTTGTTCTCTATTGCTTTGTTCTTATTCGCGTACTTATAAAATGAACCTATCAAAAAGGTGCCACTTGGGTTAAGCATCCAAATCGGTTGATCATGACTCCCATTCAATAACCTAGAACATAAAGAGTTCAAAAGACATTCATACTCATTTATTTCTCAATCATTAAAATTCTTCTAGTTAGCCTGCCCCCCCAAAAAAAAATTCTCTAAAGAACTCCTTAACTAAAATATCCTTGTACCTTGTTATCGTAAATATCACCTTATTTTTTAAAAAAAGATAAAAGTATTCATGTACGGTGCTAAGGGAGCACCACCCATGTACAAGATTTACGTATCAATTAGCATATCTACAATGTCACTTAAGTCATCAAAACAATCAAGGTTATGCTCTAAAACAGTAGAGCCAAAATAGTAAAATCAGTTATCCTTGATGTTGATAAAATCTTATTCTAACCCCTCGAAAGCCCGTTTGTTTCTTTTCTTCCAAATAACCCAAAAAATGGTAAGGGGAATGAGTCTATTGATTTATTATTGCTGCCAAGACCCTCCCATGCCATCAACTGAGCGATTACAGTATCAGCCATCAACCAAGATAAGCCCAAAGCCCAAGAATCATGGTCCATAGTTTGTATGAAGTAGAACATTCCAAAAGAAGATGATTGCAAGATTCCAGGGAGTTTTACAAAGGAATGCATCTGTTGACAGTAGTGTAGCCTCTTTTCATCAAGTTATCAAGGGTGAGAATTTTTTCTTTTGCAGCCTCCCAAGCAAAAAATGATATTCTAGGGGGAGCACCTGATTTCCAGATGATCTT